TCCCTGTCTCAGCTTGGCTCTCCCCTGAGTGCGCTTCATTCATAGTCAGGCTCCCCCATCCATGGAGTCAAAAGAGGCCCCGAGATCCAGCCTTACTCATCTCTTCCCAGTCAGCAACTCAAATAGAAATGGAAACCTTCCTGACTATTGGTTCCTGCAAAGTCCACAGCTGATTCTAATTGGCTTGACCCATATCACGTGGCCACCTCTGACTCAATCACTGTGGCTGAAGGGCGGGGTTACGCAGAGAGTGGGGAACTGGGGTTCTCCCAGAAGCAGAGCAAAGTTCTGTCATCCCATAGCATCTGAGCAGGCCCAAACAGCCAGGGTTTAAATCTTAGGGTCACATGACAGGCTGTGTGATCTAGGGAAAATGGCTTGCCCTCTCTGGAAGTCTGAGGTGGGGCGGGGGGGAAGAGGGGGCTGTGATTGGGTCCTGAGACATGGGATCACTGTGTCTGAAAATCCCAGAAGCCTGGAAAGAACCCTGCCCCCCGCCCACCTCTGTCCTGTGACCCCATGGACCATAGGCCCTGATTATCAAGCGCTTACTGTGTGCCCAGCCTTGTCACAGGGATCCACACCAGGGGCCACCCTCGTGCTGTGAGTCTCAGCCCACCCTAGAGTAAAATTCCTAGACAACATCACCAACCTACACATGTACTTTCAAAGAACATAACTTGCTACTTACAATATAAAGGAGAAATAAGAAGAATATTCTTTATAATAAAATTCTCTGTCTTTCAATATGTAAATGATCCGGCACAACCATAGGAGAGACACAGTGAGGCTGGCCAAGGCAGCCTCCGCCTGGCGGGTCAGAGTCACTGTGCTCCCCCCACCCCCGGCCCCATCTCTGGTGCCCCACAGCCTGTCCTCCCCACAAAAGCCACAGGGGTTGCCTATGAACATCTGGTCCCGCCTCCTCCTCTCCCCACAGTCCTCCAGGGCTCCCACCTCAGTGGGGTAAGCATTCAGGTCCTTCCCATGGCCCACAATGCCCTGTACTACCTTGCCCCATCCCCTCACTGCCCTCACCTCTGCCCTCTCTCCCTCTTACTCACTCTGCTCCAGCACACAGGCCTCCTCGCTGTTCCTCTAATGAAGGAGGCATGGTGCTGCCCCAGGACCTTTGCATGAGCTGTTCCCGCAACCAGGACCACCCATCTCCCAGACAGCTCATTCTTGGAGTCTCAGCATACATGTCACCTCCTTTCAGAGCTCCTTCCTGGCCCCCAGCTAAAGGTCCCCTGCCCTTCTTCCTCCTTTCCCTATCATATCCCCCATTCTCTAACTTCCCCCCCATGGCACTTGTTGATTTTTCTTTAATTCACTTATTTCTTGGCTGTCTGGCCCTTCCCCACTGGGCTAGACAACCCAGGGGAGTCAGAACAGCACCAGGCCTGTGACAGGCGTCTGTGTTCGTTCCCTGAATACAAGTGCATGTCCACTTTTTGGATGAGGCCTCTGAGGCACGGAGGGGTTGGGGGTTGCCTGGAGTGAGAGCCGGGCTAGAGTCACTCCATGACTAGCACTCTCAGTTCTGACGCTGAAACCCTGGTTCCTCCAGGACCTGGAGCGTGAGCAGAGAGGGGAGGAGAGTGGCAGTGAAGGAGTTAACGTGCCCCCCACCACCACCACCACCACCACTTGAGTCACCAAGCCTGGGTCACTTTGTGCCTCAGTTCACACATCCATAAACAGTTTCTGGCTCCCTTGGCTCACCGGCCCCCCCAGGGGGAAGCATATTCGTTTCCATGGCAACCGTGTTGTCTCCTGTCTGACTAGGGCTGAGTGACAGCCACTGGGGCCAGATGAAGTCACTCGCCACCCACGCCCGCCCTGAGAGAAGAGCTGGCCCAGCGGGGGACACTCAGGGGTGTACTTTACCAGCAGGCAGGAGCCGGAGGGGGAAGTCTGCCCGCCGCCTGCCAGGCCACCATGATGGCTCCATGCTTTGGTCTTAAAAGACTTTGCTGGCTCTGGGGCTTCCAGGAGAGCTTAGACCTCAGACATGTCGGAGGGCGTGCCCCGCGGGAGAGACTGCATCTGATCTGTTTTTATAACTCCCATCCCAGCATTGGCCTGGCAGATAGTAGGTGGTCAATAAATGCTTGAGAAAGAAAGGAGGGGGGAGGGCGGAGGCATTGTGGGCCCAAGCACTTCAGTTCTTGCCTGACATTGATGCAGTTGTCTTCCAGGATTTTTCTTATCGGCCAGCACTTCCCTTATCAGTTAACCTTTTCATTATCAACTCACACCTTAGTTATCAGCTGACACCTCAGCTATCATCTTTGTCGGAAATGTTCAGAGAAGCCTGAAGCAGGGGGAGAGAGCCTGGAAAGCAGGATGCCTGCCCTCAAATCCCATCCTCCCCACCCAGTGACTCCCAGGCAGAGGGGATGGACTGGGTTTGCAGGAAGCAGGGGATGGGGATCTGAGACCAAGAGGAGTGGAAGGTGAAAAATGCGGGCTCTGTCCTTAAGGAAGGGTTTTCAAACCCGTGGAACTCTCCAAAACCTGAGTGAGCTGCCTTGGGTGGTAACGAGGTCCCCATCACAGGAGGTAACCTAGGCAAGCCAGAGAGCCTTCCCCAGGGCCCGTGGAGGGAACTGGAGTGGCAGAGTTCCATGACTCCTTCCTTCCTGATTCTAAGATTTAGTGTTGATTCTAAGATTCTATGCCTGGGCGTCAGCGGCGAACCCCAAGTTTCCACAAGGCTAGAAGTCGGGGCAGTGATTCTGAGATCTTCTGATTCGTCAATTCCACACATATTTATTGGCCACGTGCTGGGAGCCAGGCCCTGGTCCAAGAGCTGGGGACACAGCAGGAACCAAAACTGACAACAATACCTGCCCTGAGAGGCTGACAGTCTGGGGTGAGATGGACAAGAATCCGTTAAAGCAGGTGGATATAATCTATGTGGCGGGGGAGGCACACCAAGGGGCAGGTAGAAAGCCCACTGCTGGGGCCACTGACCCCCAGGGGTGTCCTCTCTTAGCTCCAGTAGCATGTCGCTGTCCAGAGTGCTGAACGGTCGCTGTGGGTGTCTCCCAGGTCCTGCTTGCTGCTGCTCTTCCGGACAAAGCTTGCACTGCACAGGGCAGGGCAGAGGAAACCACATGGTTCTTCCAAAAAGCTCCCACCCCAGCTCCTATCTCGGTGGCCTCTGTTAGGAGGAGTCTCCCCGCTGGGCACCCTCACTTCCTAAGCCCCGCCTGGCCCCGGCCTTGGTTCTATCTACTCAAGTGAGAATTCAGGGGATCATGAGTTGATAGTAGTAACATCGAATCCAGTCTCCAGTTTCTCTGTCTCTGCATCGCTCCCCCACTATCTCTGTATCTATCTCTGTCTCTCTGTCTCTCTCTATCTCTCTGTGCATCTCTGTTTCTCTGTTTCTGTGTCTCTTCCTGTGCCTCTTGGTGTCTCTGTTGCCTCTTTCTGATTCTTTTTCTGTCTCTCAATGGTTCTCAATGTCTTTCTGTCTTTGCCTGTCTCTGCCTGTCTCTGTCTCTCTCTCCACCCCACCCCCACCATTCTGAAAACGACAAGCCCTTCTCGCCATTTGCAACAGACTCAGCTTTTTCCAGCCACCTGTCAGCGGGGGAGAGAAGGCCCTCCCCTCCCCCCGGCCTGCATGCCGGCCACTGCAGGCTACATCGCATTGGAGCATCGATGGTCATTGTGTCCTCCTCCGGTCCCTCCTCTGCTTCCGGTACCCTGTGCCTCAGTGTCTCCGTCTATATGATGACGTGATTGGCAGATGCGGTCTGAGCACCTCCCCGATTCCCAAAGGCCACTCCTTACTCCCTGACTACAAAAATCTCATTAGTCCCCAAACACCTGGAAGTAGAACATGAGGTGTGTGAATAATTTATTTTGTGAGTCATTTTAATATTTTATAATAATTGTGATGAACCATTTGGTTTGTGGAGCTGTTTGGGAATCATTAAGATAGAGCCAGGATGGGCCTTGCTCCTGCAGCTGGAGCAACCTGTCCCCGTGGGGCCCACGGCGGGGGCCAGGCTGGGGGAGGAGGCAGCCTCGAGGGATACTGAGAAGGGCCAGGTGGTGATGGGCTGTGAGCGGACCAAGGCTGTCGCTATGAATCAGCCTCCTATGCTTTTATTCATTCATTCATCCATCCAAACATTTACTCACTCATTCATTCAAACTCTGTTATGATCTGAATGCTTATGTCCTTCCTCCCAAATCCCTATGTTGAAGCCCAAACCCTCAATGAGATATTCGGAGGGCAGGCCTTTGGGAGGTAATTAGGTTTCGATGAGGTCCTGCGGGCGGGGCCCCCATGATGGAATGAGTGTCCTTATAGGAAGAGGGACAGACGAGAGCTCCTCTCTCCTCCCTGTGAGGACAGTGAGCAGGCAGCCATCCGAAAGGCAGCACGGGGCTCTCATGAGGAACCAAATCTGCAGGACCTTGATCTTGGATGTCCCAGTCTCCAGAACTGTGAGAAATCAGTGTCTGTTGTTTAAGTCGCTCAATCTATGGTATTTTGTTAGGCGCCCTGAGAAGACTGACACTGTCTAAGAATCCTTCATTACACTCAAGTCAAGCTCAAGCTGCCCACCCTGGTCTAAGAGAACCCCTAAAATCCAGCTTCTCGGTGACCTTCCTGCCCTCACCTCCTCCCCGCCCCCCACTCTGCTCCAGCCGACCTCCCTGCTCCTCCTCCGGCCCCTCTCGGTGCTTTTGCCCTTGCAGTGCCCTCTTCCTGACTCCGCCAGGGCTCTTCCTGTGATGAGCTCCTCCTTGTCTTTAAGCTCCAGCTCACACGGTGCCTCCCGGGTCTCACAGTGGGAGGACTTGGAGAGGGGGTGTGCAGTGGGGGGGTGTGCCTGGCAGGGAGCTCCGTGTAGGTCAAGACTTGGTGCCAAGAGTGTTGAGACTGAATCAGCTGAACGTAAGGCTGTGCAGGTGGAGGAGTGGGCGGGGCCGGGGGAGCCGGGTTGGAGGAGAAGGCGAGGAGCTGGGCTGGAGATGGAGAGGGTCTTGACGATCAGGATGAATAATGTAGGCTCCATCCTGGAAGGAAACATGTCAGCCAGAGGCACCGGCCATGTCCTCCGACCAGAGGCCCTCTCTACGACCCACTCTGAGTTGGCCCAGCCCACATAGCAGCATCGCACAGCGAGCCCAGCCCACCCCAAAGCAAGAGACACAGAGGCCACTTGTAGCATCAGCTGGGAGCTGGCCGGGCTCTATGGGGGACTCAGGTGACAGGCCCTGGGAAGACTGGAGGCCTGGGTTTGTGCTAGAAATTTTCCATTTGCCCATCCTCCTCCCCAGATCTAGTCTTAATGCTTTCCCATGTAGGCCCAGGTCCTGGGAGAGGCTCATCTGCATAGACAAAATTCTCAGTCTCCTATTGGCCAAATCATGTTGTGTTCAACCAATGGGAGACAGCGGTGGTGTGTGTGGGGGGGAGAATGAGGGGTGCCGGTATTTATTCTCCCACCTTCTGTTCTGCTGCACTGTTCTGAGCCCTTCCAAGCCTCAGCTTCCACTGGATTTCAGCAAACATTCCCCCCTTGCCCACTCAGACCTAGACAGGGTAACAGCTACCCCAAGTGCTGCACTGTGCCCCGAGGGCTTCCATTACCCTGACTACACCTCTGTAAATAGCTCCTTTGTCACCTCAGATGGGTGCTATGGAGAGGTGCTTTGATAGATCTGAGTCTTGCAGAAGTTGTGCCAAATTTGACTTCTTTTTCTCTAGCTTTCTTTGTGTTGGTCAATATAGAGAAAAAGAAGATATCACAAATATGCATTCGTATGAAATTAAACACACACACACACACACACACACCGCTAAGTAGTCACAAATGTCCAGGAGGATAGGGATTTTAATAGTAACAAATAGGGGGAGGGGGAAGCATGTGGTTACGTTTAAGTTTTAAAACAGAGTCAACAACCCTGGCTGAGTAGCTCAGTTGGTTAGAACGCTGTCCTGATATGCCAAGGTTGTGGGTTTGATCTCCGGTCAGGGCACATACAAGAATCAACCAGTGAATGCATAAATAAGTGGAACAATAAATCTCTCTCTCTCTCTCTCTCTCAAATCAAGCAGTAAAAAAAATTAAAACAGAGAAAGCAGAATGGTATACCATATAACTATTATATAAAAATCATACAATTCTAGTTTACATGTATCTATTATTTCCAAACATCTACCTAGCCCTTGGTTACTATATCTAGGTTGAAAAGTAATTGTGGAGGAACCCAAAAAGCACGCGGGAATAAAAAATTGCTAATCTAATGGGACAGAGTGCAGAATCTCAGAGGGAAGGCGAGGGAGGGTGGGTGGGTAGGAGCAACCAACCAAGAGGCTTGGATGCATATATGCATGGCCCATGGCCCTGGCCCAGACAATGGGGCGGTGAGGGCCTGGGGCAGGGGTCGGGGTGGGTTGGTGAGGGTTAATGGTGGGGGGAGATGGGGACATATGTAATACTTTCAACAATAAATAATTATTTTTTTAAAATGATGGAGAAAAAATTGCTCATCTATAAATCTATAATTAGAAAATAATTTTGATATAAAATGTAATGTGCATTAGTCCCTGAGATTGACTGTGACTGTCCTTTTCAGCTCAGTCATGGAATTGCGGTGAGATCTCAGCCAGATTCCCCACTGCCCCTGCCTACTGCAAGGAATTATACATGTATGTAGAATTAAACAAAAAGAAATGTTTTAGCTGAATACAAGAATCTATACCTAGCCCTGGTTATACATCATAAATGCATCTAGAAAGACAGACAACTATCACAAATTACATGATACTAAAGGTTTTAAGTGAAAATTCAAGAAATTGGAGTCATCCACCTTTTTCAAAGTTTATGAATTTAAATAGACACACTCATAAAGATGCGCAAGTGAAGGTTTTTTTTGTTAATAAACAAGATAATATACCGCAGGAGTGATCCTGAATGCATTTGGAGTTGGTCTTTATAATTTAAGTTTAGATTTATGTGCGCTTTTAAGTCATCACTCCCAATACTGTCAGCTCCTTAGGCTGTTGTAAACCCTGCACGCACTTCACAGAGCGCTGTACAAGGGTGATTATAAAATATTTGTCACCAATCACTTTCCCATACAAAATGAGAATCAACAAATCAGAAATGAGGTAGGCTGAAGCAGTCACGATATTTACTTGCGCAAGTCATGCAATGAAATGTTATGTGACCATGAAAAGGAGTGAAGCGCTGACACTCACTACAACATGGATGAACCTTAAAAACACGGTGTTCAGTGAGAGGAGCCAGACACAAAAGTCCACATCACATGAATGTCCAGAGCACGCAAAGCCAGAGAGGCAGAAAGTGGGTTCGTGGTTGCCAGTGCTTGGGGCCAGGGGAGAACGGCATTGACTGCTAATGAGATTCTTTTTTTAATATGTATTTTTGTTGATTTCAGAGAGGAAGGGAGTGGGAGAGAGAGATAGAAACATCAATGATGAGAGAGAACCATTGGTCAGCTGCTTCCTGCACCCCCCTCACTGGGGATCAAACCCACAAACCAGACATGTGCCCTGACTGAGCATCAAACTGTGACTCCTGGTTCATAGGTCGACTCTCAACCACTGAGCCATGCTGGCTGGGCCAAAATTGATTTTCAAGAGAGAGGAAGGGAGAGAGAGAGAGAGAGAGAGAAACATCAATGTAAGAGCAGAACATTGATGAGCTGCCTCCTGCACGCCCCCTACAGGGGATCAAGGTTGGAACCCGGGCCTGTGCCCAGGCCAGGAATCCAACCAGCAACCTTTCCATGCACAGGACAACACCCAACCAACTGACCCATACCGGCTGGGACGTAAATGGATTTATTTTGGGGGTGATAAAAATGTTCTAAAATTGTATTATCTAAACATGATCCTATAATTTGATTGACTTGATCAATATTTTTAGCCACTTATATTATTTAAATATATTAGCATAATAGTATCTAAAATTATATTATGAGAATGGCTGCACTCTGTGAATATGCTAAAAACCATTGAATTGTATGCTTTAAAGGGATAAGTTGTATGCGCATGAGTTATCTCAATAAAGCTGCTATAAAAAGAAAAATGAATACAGAAAGACTTCATGCACCTTTCCCTCAGTTTTCACCACAGACCTGAGCAGGAAACTAACATTAATAAAATCCATCAACTTTCCTCAGATTTCAACAGTTTTACATGCACTCCTTTGCGTGTGTGTGTGTGTGTGTGTGTGTGTGTGTGTGTGATGTGACCACCACAGAAGATTCCATTTCAAGGATCTTTCACGCTTATCTTTTATCGCCACAGCCACCCCCTCTCACCTCCCTGAAAGCCACCTGTCTGTTCTCCACCTTATACTTGTGTCATGTCAAGCGTGCTATTAAGTGGAACTGGGTTGTCTATAACCTTTGACACTGGCTTTTTTCACTCCTCACGGTTCCCTTGACATCCATCCAAGGTGTTGCCTTTATCACTAGTTCATTCATTTCTATTGCTGTGTAGTATTCCATGGTGTGGATGGACCCAAGTTGGTTGAATTATTCACCTATTGAAGGACATCTGAGGTGTTTCCAGGTTTCAAATGAACTTGCCCCAAACATTCATGGACAGGTCTTCGTATGAACATAAACGTTTCATTACTCTGAGATAAGTACCCAAGGGTGCAATTGTTGGGGCATATGGCAAGTATATATGAGGTCCCCCCGGCCCCACATGTTTAATTCTGTAAATAAATAAGTAAATAAATAAATGAAACTCTGCCAGACTCTCCCAGCGATGGATAGGTGATCCAGTTTCTCTGCGTCTTCACCAGCACTGAGCGTTACCGCTCTTTTCT